TCGGGCCCTGATAAGCACCTGGTGTTGCTTTTGAATAAGATTGGTAAGTTCTTTATTTCACTTCCCAGTGTACTCAACATTTTTCCTACTAAAAGGAATATGTCAAGTTTTAGAGATTCTAGAATCTAGGTATCCTAACTCTGTCTTAAAGATAGAAGGGTGAATTTTCACACAAGTATCATTCTATTAGTTGGGTTTTGCAATCTCAATGAATAAATCAGGGCATTGCTTCCTTCCAGTACTTTTTTTTTCTTTATATTTTTCCTTTGCTTCTGCCTTGACTCTTTTTAATGAGAAACTTGCTTTTCAGATCTCGTTCCTCGAGAAGCTGTTGAAAAGTGGCTCAAATATCTTAGGGAAGAGTTACCGGCTGTTGCCTTTAAGTGCAGCACTCAAGAGCAGAGATCAAACTTAGGGTGGAAATCTTCTTCAAAGGCAGCGAAGCCTAGCAATCTTCTGCAAACTAGTGATTGTCTTGGAGCAGAAACTCTCATTAAGTTGCTAAAAAATTACTCAAGAAGTCATGAGGTACATGTAATTGCTGTTTCTGGACTGCAATATGACTTTCTCTTTGTTGATGCTTAGCCGTAATTCTGTACTCTATATTTGATGCTCATCTGCTTGTTCAAATTATTTAGAACTGTCCCTTGTTTTAATAGAAATATCGATCTCTTTGTGTAACTTGTTTTTGCAGATAAAGAAGTCTATAACTGTCGGTGTTATTGGCCTGCCTAATGTTGGCAAGAGCAGCCTAATTAACAGCTTGAAAAGATGCCATGTGGTCAATGTTGGTTCTACTCCAGGGTTGACAAGATCAATGCAAGAGGTTCAATTGGATAAGAGTGTAAAATTATTGGATTGCCCTGGTGTTGTTATGCTTCGATCTGAAGGGAATGATTCATCAATAGCTCTTCGAAACTGCAAAAGAATTGAGAAGCTGGATGATCCAGCTGGTCCAGGTATTTCAACCAGTGAATTTTCTGTATCAGATAGCTGACTGCAAATAACATGGGATTAAAGCGTAATTTATTGATGTGATCTTAGTTGGAGAACTGCTTCATTGCAATGACTGACTAATTTGGAAATTGGATAATTGTGGTGGAGAGCCTACAAATTTTTCTACTTGTTTAAAAGAATTACAAGCTAGACTTTCTCCAAACCATATCTTAATGGGAGCGATTTTAAAATTAATACATCTTTTCTGATGCATTCATTTTGTAGAAGATGAATAAAATTGATTATGGTTTGGGTTTGATGAAGAGAAATGCTTTGTTATGAAGCTGTAAAATAAGGTCTAATATTCTTGAGAAGAGGCAACATAGGAGAAAATAAAAGTTAGGTGAGAGTTTGAATTAGTTGTGGCATTAAACCGACATCAAATTCTCCTTCAATATTAAGATTGTCTGATGAAATACGTTAACGGAAATTCAAGTGCATTGCAAGAGGCTGGAATTCCTGCCTAGGAGATTGTTTGATCTCAACTATTGGCAATATCTTGACTTGTCTTGACAAATATGAGCTAGCAATACTAATTAGTAATTCTTCTTTGTTCTAAAACAGTGAAAGAGATTCTCAAGCTTTGTCCAGAAAGACTCTTGGTAACAATATACAAGATCCCAGGTTTTCAATCAGTAGATGAATTCCTTCAGAATGTTGCCACTGTAAGGGGTAAGCTAAAAAAGGGTGGTATTGTGGATGTTGAAGCTGCTGCAAGGATCATTTTGCATGACTGGAATGAAGGTATTCTCCATTAACTTTGTTATAATATCCAAAAGATGAAAAATTAATTAATGAGGAAAAGTAGATTTTTGTACCAAGTTAATACATTGCTTTCCGGCATACTTCAGGTAAAATTCCATATTACACCATGCCTCCGGTTAGAAACCAAGAAGAACCTTCAGAGGCAAGGATTGTTACAGAACTTGGGAAGGAGTTTAACGTTGATGAGGTTTATATCACAGAATCTTCATTCATTGGAAGTCTCAAGTCGACCAATGATTTCCATTCCATTGAGGTTCCTCCCAGCCACCCTCTCAAGTTTGATGAGACTATGCTAGAGGTTTGTAATTGCTCTCTTTCTGGACTCTTTTGTAGTTGATCTTAGCTTTTTGCATGTTAATAGTTCGAATAGCTTGAATCTAGGTTGTTTTTTGTTTAAATGTGTTGGATATTTTGTGGAACTCAGGATAATGCCCAACCCTTGCCATCAACTGAAGGTAATGAAAAGCAAGATGAAACATTTGATGAGGGTGATAATGATGATGAACCCATGGCTTCTGAAGAGGATACTGAAAAAGCAAAGTCGAAATCTGCTACAAGCAGGCAAAATGAGAAACTATATGCGGTAGAAGGTATGCTCAACACAAAGATGAAAAGAGCGGAGAATAAGAAAAGGAGAAAAGCCAAAAATAAATTAAACTCAGGGGATGATGCTATGGATGATGATGAGGATTACGACTTTGGTGTGGATTATGTCAAGGGAAAAGATCAAACTACTGGAGGGGGCCGATGTCAGGTGTTGAAGTTGATGAGTGATGAGAAATAAAAATGACTATAAAATGTTATGTTTGTAGTTCTTTGCTTTTATACTTGGTCAGAATGTAGACACCGAATGCAATTGATGCATGCATGATGTGAGAAACTTTGTTTTAAGTGATTTTTTTTATGGTAATGGGTTTATTTGATTATTATATACCTGATATGAACCTGCAGCATGAACGCATAACAAAAACTGATCAATTAGGTGTAGATTGATTCGGTTCATCAGTTTTTCGTAGAGCATTTGAAGTTATTTCACAAATTTAACTTATAAATTTTACTAGGAGAGTTGGGTTTTTGTTGAATATAAAGGGAGCAGAAATTGATTCAATAAAAAAGGATCATAGGGATTAAACACCCTGCATATTTATTTGGTAATATATAAATCTATTGTTTTGTATCTGATAAAAAGTAGGAGGTACAAATGCAGATACTTGGCAATCGGCATCATTCATTTCTACTTGGATTCTGGACCAGGGTCTGTATTAGCTACAGGGGTGGCAGAAGCTCCATCATTGGTGGTTGAGGGTGAAACTTTAGATGCAGCGCCTTGGCCTACTGATGTAGGAATCATCCCTTGTGCCTCCAATGCCTCGCGCGCGGCTTTCTCTTTGGTTCTTTTTTCCCTTTCGAACACCTCCTGTGTGCATGAATTAAGGGGATACCATGGTGAAATGCTGTAAACTTGCAGATGCACAACTCAAATTCCAGAAAAGAGAAAATATTGATACCCAATTGCATTTACTTGGGAAATAAAAACGGATTTCCCTAAGATTCAAAGAAGTTGGATAATATATTATCCATGAGGTCAAGGTAGAGAAGAGGTAAAAGGTTATCAAAAGTGCCATTGATAGAATATATTCGAGAACATGAACGTGACAGTTGTAAAAAAATGTTTCTCGCATCAACATTTAATGTTTCCTTGTAAGAGAAGGAACTCGGATCATCATCAGTCGTTTAATGTTTCTCGCATCAGTTTCACCTTCATGTTCTGCCATCACATCTTTCTCCTCATACGAGTTTCTCGCATCAGTTTCACCTTCATGTTCTGCCATCATGCATGCATTCAGTGTCTACATTCTGACCAAGTATAAAAGATCAACAAGGAACTCGGATGAGGAGAAAGATGTGGTGGCAGAACATGAAGGTGAAACTGATAGTTTTGGGAATCCTGATCGCCTTGATTCTCGTAATTGTATTTTCCATTTGTGGTGGCTTCAACTGCTGAAGAATAACATCATCATGCATTGGTATTGTTGCAGTCGCAACCGTATTGATGATCGTCTAGTTACACATCTCTTGATTCCACGTGCTTTTTCTTTCTTTTTCGTTGTGTAAATCTGAAGAAAATGTGCTGTATATTACAATTTGTATTTTTGGGTTCGTTTGATTACATTAAGTTCCTTGATGTGTGGAAATTCATTTTCCCATCTTATGAAACTGAATTTTTATCACATATAATACGACTGCACGTTCGAAATTTTTAAGCATTGATGTTTAACGTATATTTCGATAATAATCATTCAGTTTACTTTTCACTATATAAAAATAATAATATTACATCTTGAAAAGATAGAGAATATTAATCTCATGTCGAAAAGGGAAAAAATCCCAAAATTTAAAAATGGTGACATTATATATTCTATGAGACGTCTTTTGAGATGAGAGAATCCCAAAATTTAAAAATGGTGACATTATATATTCTATTAGACATGTCTTTTGTGATAAGAGTAATATTCTACTTTCACATTGAGTGTCTCAATAAGAGGTAGGCAAGGTAGACAACTGTAACATCATCATCACAAGTAGAGATCCGGATTTAAATTCGATCTAAATCGGATAAAAATCGATCCAATTTTTTCACTAAATTAAAAAATCGATTTATAAAAAAACCGATTTGAAGGGCCAGATGATATAACCGGTATAATCGATTTCGATTTGAAAAAAAATCAGCTTTTAAAAAAAACTGATTTTTAATCCGGTAAAAAATTCGATCATCCAATTTTTTAAACCCGGACCGAATTTTTTTTCCGGATAAAAAACTAATTTTTTATCCAATTTTTTTCAAACCGGTTTTTAATCCGGTAAAAAATCCAATCGTCCAATTTTTTCCCAAACCGATTATACTATCCGGTTTTAAAATATCCAATCCGGTTTAAAAAAAACCGATTTTTACCAAATCTGGTTTCGAATATTTTTTGCATAAAATTAGATATTCAGATTTTTTGTACACCTCTAATCACAAGATTGAGAGAGAAAATCACATCTCGGAGAAGTGCGAGGCATTGATCCCACATTTGAAAGATCCTTGAATTTGAAAAAAATTAAAATCTGATGAGCCAAAATTTTATTCACTCTAGTTTATATAAGTTAAACTAATGCACATTAATCCCACACCATTGTTTATTGCTCTTCCCATATGGAAAAAATATTTAATTAAATAAGTGGGGTTAGGCTGAAGAAGTAGTTTTCATATGCTGATTTCCATGTTATCTATCAGCCTAACCTTGCCAAACCAAGCTGCAATGCAGAACACAACAGGACTCTTGATCTCTGTCACTGCCTCCAAACTGTCCTGGTCTACTATCTGCAACCAAAGCAAAAATATATCGAAATTAGGTGTTGCCGATTTAACTTTTCCCACCACATCATGAATACATGACATGAAAACAACATTTTGAATAACCACGATTTGCAAAACAGGATTAATACACACAAAAATGGCACATAAAATTTTTTGTTATGTTTATTTTTACATGACTGACAAAAATACACGATTCATACACGTGTTCCGATGTCAAACTTCTAATATGAACTTCATGATATGCATACACGGATTATGAGATCATAAGCTTCTAATATGAACTTCAAATCCTCTGGATGTTACGTCAAGGTCTTAAAGAGGGATCACAGGGGATATGAACTTGGCTGTTTGACACCCGACACAAGACGAACCTGTTGCTAATAACTTGACCTTATTCCGAAACCACTAATAGAAAATTAGTAATAATGATGACAAGAAAAAGACGATAGAATAAATGAATGCTAAGGAAACATAAAAGAATGCACAGAATCAGAGAAGGTGGGCATTTTGGATCAACTAGGTTATGTTTTCAGCCACACATGCTACTCGAAATATATGTGGTCGATCGGACAATTGTATTACGTTTTAAGATTGGGACTCAGCACCATAGATGGTGTGTGTGTGTGTGTGTGTGTGTTTTGGTGGGGGGGAGGGGCTAAACTGCACTGGCACTAAGGGTGGAGATGGGGTCACGGGTCACCGAACATGCTCTTTAATAGCTTCAAAATAGGAATGTCATTTGGCTACTTAATTACTTAATATTTCCAATCTACACAGAAGATCAAGGAAGACAGATTGTACTAACCTCAGCATAATCGATTCTTCCCCCTGTTTTAGTTATTGTTAGGATAGCCAAATCCTTTAGTTCGCTACATTTAACTCGACCGTCTTTAGCAGCGGATTTAGCCTTCAACAACGCCCTGCTAATAGACAATGCCTGCAACACAAAAATAAACTAATTCAGTCACATTTACATGGAATCTTATTTGTAACAGTTAGCACATTAGTTTAACGCATTTGATCCATTATGCAAGGCACTATATAATGAGAGTTAAGCATCTAGATGTATAGCATCTCCATCAAACAGATCACTGGAAACCTCTACGCATCAAGAATCACATCACAATAGAACAAAGGGTTAAAACAAACAAAGAACCTTTTCCCTTTCTTCAGGGGAGAGATGCACATTTCGTGAACTCATTGCAAGGCCGTCTCTATCCCGCATTATTTCAGACCCCACAATTTCAATGGCAAAATCGAGATCTCGAACCTGTAGTGAATGAAAGCACACCAGCATGAACTAACCATTTCAAATCTAACTAGAACAAAGGAGATTAAGACAGTAAAAAAATCTCACCATCCGTTGTATAATCCTCCACTGCTGATAATCCTTTTTACCAAAAACAGCAACATCAGGTTCCACAATGTGAAACAACTTGGTAACAATGGTAGCAACCCCTCTAAAGAAAACAGGCCTACTTTTCCCACACAATCCTTTCTCCAATCTCTCAACTCTAACCCATGTTTCATGCCCATTCCCCTTATCCTCTACACAGGAAACCAACCCACTGGCACAACCAGAACCCAAATTCTCACTCTTTTGCTTCTCACCACTATCATTGCTATAGTCATACAGATTCTTAGGACAAAAAACAGCATCAACTCCACCGGGAACAGACTTAAGCTTAAGCATATCACCATGGAAATCAGATGGGTATGTTGAAAGGTCCTCGGAAGGAGAAAACTGACCTGGGTTTACATAGATTGAGACAACTATGAGGTTGCTGTGGTTGTGTGCTTCTTGGATGAGTGAGAGGTGACCTTGGTGAAGATAACCCATGGTGGGAACTAATCCAATTGTTTTGCCTTGGGATCTCATCTGTCTCGACCACTTTCTCATCTCATCTTTGCCTGTTATTATCAATGGGTGTTTACCTGCCATTTGATTGAAGCAATCAGAAAGTAAAAAAAAAATTGTGTTCTTTAGTTAACTATTTTTGTTTTTTTTAGAGAAATAGAAGTGGTGGATTCATATGCAGAGTGTGGCGGCTTGGTTTGAACTTAGGATTTGAGAGTGAGAGGCCGCCTTAGATTGATGGTTGAACTTTTTTGTTTATATTTTTTCTAACATGTAAAATTTATATCTAGCATTATATTTTATTTATGACTTTTCTCCTTTTCTTATTCTCTTTCCATATTTGTGTTGAGCATACTTTCTACCACATATAGTTTCTCATTTTGCCTGAAAAAACTATGTAGAAGGTATGCTCAACATAAAGATGAAATGAGCAGAGAATAAGAAAAGGAGAAAAACAAAAAATAAATTAAGCTTAGGGGATGATGCTATGAATGATGATGAGGATTATGACTTTGGTGTGGAATATGTCAAGGGAAAAGATCAAACTACTGGAGGAGTGCCGATTTCCAGTGTTGATGTTGATGAGTGACGAGAAATAAAAATGCCTATAAAATGTTATGTTTGTAGTTCTTTGCTTTTATACTTGGTGAGAATGTAGACACTGAATGTAATTGATGCACGCATGATGTGAGAAACTTTGTTCTACGTGATTTTTTTTCATGGTAATGGCTTTATTTGATTATTATATACCTGATATGAACCTGCAGCATGAACGCATAACAAAAACTGATCAATTAGGTTTAGATTGATTTGGTTCATCAGTTTTTCATATAGCATTTTAAGTTATTTCACATATAAATTTTACTTGGAGTGTTAGGATTTTGTTGAATATAACGAGAGTTTACAAAAAATAGCAATAAAAGAACAACAATCTCTAAACAGAACAAATAAATTCTAGCAGATACTATAAATGCAATGATAAGATTAAGTTCTAATTCTCGCAGAAATTTAAGCAATGTGTCCATAGTACCATTGGGAGAAAACTTTATCCTAAATACAACTTAAAATAAATTCTAAATAACTGTCTCAGTTGACATATTCAAATGGCTCAGTGGAATGCAAAAAATAAACCATAACAACCAAATGATCATTCAATATATAACTAAGCCAAGGTGATATATTTAGCTTGAGAGACATCACTAAGTTCATATCGGTTCAAATGAAAACGGTTAACCTATTAAGGGAGAAATCAAAATTTCCCAGAGCAATGAAATGAAAACTCATGTTATGGGAAAAGCAAGTTATTTAGCAATATTCTATACCCGTATACCCAACACGAGAAGGAAGGTAAAGGATAATAAATCAAATCAGAATTAACAATAGCAGAAAGCTCATAAAAGTAAATACAACAACAACCACCACCACTATACGGCACAAAATAAAGTAATTTGAAGCTCATTTCGATTATTTATAAAGTAAAACGGTAAAGAAGATAGAAGATATTTTCATTGTAGCAATCAACAAACAAACAGAGAATAAGTAAACGAATCAAAACTAGAACAAGCATTACCAATATAAAAAGGAAAAGGAGTAAGAGCAAAGAAATATAGTCATATTAAAATCCAAATACCTTTGGGAGCCATTGTTTACTGTTGCCTCAACCCCTTCTAAACCCTAAATCAGTAAAATAAAAACACAAAACAAATGAAAAAGGTGGAGGAGGAAACGAGCGGCACTAGGGTTTGCTGGAGGAGAGAAGGGGACCTGTAGATAGGAAGCGAGTGGCACTAGGGTTTGCTGGAGGAGATGAAGAGAAAATTAGGGTTTATATAAAAGAGCTTCTAAATCACGTAAGACCCAATGGGCTATGATTATCAGGCCAACAAATCCGAAAGTCCACAATGAACAAGTCCTTGTTCGTATTATAATTTGGATTTTTTTTAGATGGTTTCAATTAATGGGTTTCTATAAAATATTAGCATAAACTACAAGAATGAGCACTTGTTTCAGTTTGGTTTGCTTTCAATTATTAATTCCAAAGTTCAGGTCTTATGGTTTAAATAGAGAATCGAAATTAACGATTTTTGTGTAAAAGATAAAGAATGAAGAGCTCAAGAAAATGAACAATAAAGTGCTCGGAAAGAAAAAAGAGTCCTCGTACAAGTTGATTTCCATACCGACTCTTAGGGGTGTTTGGTTCACGGACTTTTGCATTATTGAGAGGAATCTTTTTTTCTGGGTTAAAATACCCATGTTTGGATAGATCACATTCCCAAGCGAATGTAAAACTTCAATACCAACAATAATACTTTTGTTCTGTTTTACTGGGAATGTTAGTCCCGCCCCTCCCTTAGGTATTTGTTTTTTCCCGTCTCTGTTGGCTAAAATACCCTTCTCCAGTAAGCTTGATTCTGCGAAGGAAAAATGTCTTCTTCGATTTGGCGAGAGAATCTCTCAGAGTATAATTCCTCTTCCGATTTCAAAGATCACATTGTTCGTATCAGTTATGGAAGTTCATCAAATTAGCGGAAATTATATCAACAACAAGAACCTTAACCCAAGGCAACTACATTTATTCGTTAAACTTATAAATGGTGGGACTATGTCGCTCTAATTCCCAACCCCTCAAATCCAAGTCGGTGATGTCAAGCACCGAATTTATGAAATTACCAAAATCCCTATCAACCTCCAGTGCCTGATTGGAAGCCATTAACTCAATGACGATTCATAGATTTCCCACTCCAACGCTACCCTCAATCTCTTGCTCTGACTTATTGGTGGCAATAGAGGTTTCGGATCGCTGTTACGTGGTGCAACCACGAAGGTCGGGCAAAAAAAGACGAGCAATTTCGAGGCGTGTCGAGACATGAGTGGGAGGAGGCTGAGGCATGTGAACGGAATTAAAAAAGGTTGGAGGAGTGGAAAGCGGATGAGGAACAGAGGAGGTTAGAGAAGATCGCGGAAGACTTTATTAAGAAGAAAGCAAAAACTGGAAAAAAAAAAGAGTTGGAGATGGAGAGGCTGAGAAGTATGTGGCAAAGTATAGGGAGCAATGTGTGTGGCGGTGGTTGAAGAGTCCGTTAGGGTAGCGTGCCAAAATGGAAAGCGGAAGGAGGTGCCAGGAGGAACTGACCCCAAAAATTTTAAGAAAAGGAAAGTGGATGAGAGTGATAGTGATAGTGATAATGATGATAGCGGTCTGGATGAAGAAGAGAATGAGAAATATGTAGTTTTAAACAATGGGAATCATTCTGATTCTAGCAAGGGAACTGAGGGGAGTTCTGGTTTGGTTTCGGGGGGGATCAGGATATGGAATTTTTAGGTGGAGCCTCAAGTGAGTCTGGCTCTGAGGAAGAGAAAGAGGTTGTTCTACAGCAAAGCTCAGAATCTTGTGGTGAAGATGCTCCTGCCATGGTTGAAGCAGATGCCATTGCGGAAGTGAAGCAGTTCAAACTGATGGGATGCTGGAACATAATGGAACTAAAATGAAAGATCCAGTGGAAATATTTGGTAAACATTCCAGTTTTCTACTTGCAGAAAATGGAGGAGTTGGAAGTGAACTAAATAATGAGGTCAATTGCACTTCTAAACCAGAATCAGAAGTTCAAAAAGAAACAGTAGTTTCAAATGCTAACATTACAGAACCAGAAAAGCCATTGAACTTTAACGACTTCAATTCTTCATAAGAGATGGAGGTATGGTTTAACACTTGAAGTTCTTTACCTTTTTCCTGAGCTTAATATTAATAAAGATCAATATCATTGATACATCGTTAGAAAAAATACTGCTTTCAACTAACTCAATGATTGCATACCTAGATGATATAGGATATTCAACGGTTTGTAGTTGCAATTTTATCAAATGCTTTCCTTTAGTGCAAGTAAATTTGGCCATAGCTATTTGATATTATTTTAGCTTTGTCTTCATGTTCTTGTGTACAAAGTTATTGGACCAGACAAATTGAATAATTGAAGAAAAGATATCATGGAGTGAAATTTAAAATCAACATATGAATTGAATTGTCATGGGCCTCGTGGTGATGCAGTTGCTTGTATAATGTTTAACGATGATACATCATTAACTGTTTTTATCATTTTTAAAGGTTCTTGGATTGGAGCGGCTGAAATCTGAACTGCAAGAACGCGGGCTTAAATGTGGTAGTACATTGCAAGAGCGAGCTACCCGTCTTTTCTTGCTAAAATTTACCTCTTTCGATAAGCTTCCAAAGAAGCTGCTTGGAAAGGAATAAAACAACCATGTAGTAGGTTGAGGCTTCATATAACGACATAAGTGTATTGCTAAGGAGTATTCTTTTTTATCAAACTAAGAAATGTGTATATTTCTCTTGTCATGTTTAATATTGTATGATTTGGTTCTTGTAAGGTGAAGCCCTGTTAGGTAAAATAAAGTTCTCCTGGCCTAAACTGAATGTTTGGATTTGCGGAATGATAAATGTTCTAACATTGATGTGCATCATTAATCTTAAGTGTTTATCTTTTATAAGAGTAGCCTCAGCTTTTATATTTTACTTCTCCTGGCCTAAACTGGATGTTTAGATTTGTGGAATGATAAATGTTATAACATTGATGTGCATCATTGATCTTCTTAAGTGTTTCTTATCTTTTATAAGAGTAACCTCAGCTTTTATTGTTATTCTTTTTCACTTAAGTCCACCAACTTTAATCCTATGAATTATGGTTTGTAACATCCTCAATATCGGGTTAGTGATCAAATTGTAAAGTTTTAGAATTTGGTGACTAGAGTATAACCATGGATTAGTTCAATGATTTATTTAGAAATAAATCATAAAAGTTGTTAGTAATTATTAGATAAATTAAAGGGCAAAAGGGTCATTTGAAAAGAAAGATTTTTTATATAAGATAAGGAACCACATGGGAAGAGAGAAAGGTTTCAGAGTTCTCTTCTCTTCTCTTCTTCCTTCTTCATACGTGAAGGTTTGACTCAAAGGTGAGTTTCTTTGTTTGTTGATTAATTATTGATTGGGTTATGATCATTAGATGATAATTAAGCTTAAGGAAAGCTTAATTTGTTCTAAAACAATAAGATGAAAGATATAGAAGAGATTAAAGAAAATGAGTTTTTAGATGAATTTCTGGAAAGGAGTTAATAAGTGAAATTTGAGAAGGAAATTGACTTGTCATCACTAAGAATAAGAGATATATGAAGTTAGAAAGGATTAATAACAAAGTTGAAAGTTTAGCAAGATTCTTAAATTTTAAGAATCATGATGAGATATGGAAGATAAAGATGGTTTATATGGATATAAGTTGGTTTAAGTAATGGTAATTGAGTTTAATGACATGATAGGGGCTTAAAATAGAAGAATTGAGTGAAAAGTTGATGGTTTTCGGGCATAAAAATGAATTATGGGCTATGTGCATCGATGCACATTCAATGTGTATCGATGCATCAAGGGTATTTCCAGAAATTGTTCAGTGTGTATCGATGCACAGGAAGTGCATCGATGCACCCATTAAAAATGGAAACATCGAATGCAATTAGTGCATCGATGCACCCCCTTAAAATGAAAACATCGAAGGTGATTGGTGTATCGATGCAAGGGTAGTGCATCGATGCACATGTTAAAGAATGCATCGATGCACATGTTAAAGAATGCATCGATGCACTGTAGAATGTATCGATGCACTTCAAGGGGAAATTGAAATAGACATTTCTTTTGGTCTAAGAAATGATAGATTAGAATATATCAATTGGATACTGCTATGTATCAATGTATTACTATGTAGATATAAAAAGAAAGCTTGTTCCGAAACAATCCAAGGATTAGGATTGATTCAAATCAAACAAGGCTAAGGTGAGTGCATATGATTATAGTATATTATTATATAGAAATTAGACTTGCAATGAGTCTATTTCCATGTTCTTATTTTATGAATGCATGAATATAGTATAGTAGTACGCCGTATGATATTCATGTAATTATTTTCTATGTGATATGATTTATGTGATGATGTGACTCTGTGATATAAGTTATATGATCATAAACTATGTAAATAATAATGACTTGTGTAATGACAAGAGAAAGTGATATAAGTTATGTGGTATAGATATAAATGATTATATGAACATGTAATATAAGTTATGTGATGAGGATCTATGTTTTTATATGTCTATGAGAAGTATGTGCTATGTGATATATGTATGAGCTATGTGATCCTATGAGAATATGAAAAGAGATATGTGAACATGTGAATTATATGAAAAGTGATATGAATTACATGAAAAGAAGTTATATGTCTGCATGCATATGTGAAAGAAGCTATGAGCTTATATGAACAGGTGATATGAAAGTGTATATGTGAAATGATATAAGTGAAAATGCCCATGTTATGTGTATTGAGAGCTAGAGGTATAGTTGGTATGCCAAGAGTCGAGGGTCTACGTGGTCCTTCGGGACATAGTGGTCCTTCGGGACATATGTGTTGTATGTAGTCCTTTGAGACATCTACGTGGTCCTTCGGGACAAATTATACGCTCCCATAGTGGGAATTATACGAGCTGTGGTGATAGCATAGTGCGCAACCTTAATAGACTCACATATCTACAGTTCTCACATGTGTACATGGGCTAATAAGAGATGATATTGAATAAATGTATGTTTTGGGATATGAATTATATGATAGGATATCTGTTTGTTAGTGATTATTGTATATGTTATAAGATATATGATATGAACATAATAAATCAATAAACAAGATAATAGAAATATAAATGGTAATAATATGATAATGATAGGAAAGAA